GGACCCTTCAGTCTGCAGGCCAACACTCCATCCACTGAGCCAAACCGGTTTTGGCTGTTTATTTATTTTTTTAATCCTCACCCGAGGATACATTTTTATTGATTTTAGAGAGGAAGTGAGGGGGGAGAGAGAAAGAGAGACATTGATGTGAGAGAGAAACAGTGATTGATTGCCTCCCATATGTGCCCTAACCTGGGATCAAACCTGCAACCCCGCCAGGTCTGTGCTCCGACCAAGACTTGAAGCCACATCCCTTTTGTTGCACAGGACGACGCTCCAGCCAACTGAGCCACCCGCCAGGCCTGATGACTGTGCACTGAGCACCACTCATGTGTCACCGCTGAGTCAGGGGCTGTGGAACAGAGTGAATATCACACACCCGTCCCTGTGGGCTGGCCGTCTAGCCAGGGGCGGGAGAGACTAGATATTAATAATCCGTTAAACATACAAATAGCTATGTGATTACGACTGACTGTGCTGATTCCGTGGGAGGAAAGGGTGGGGTGGTGGGAAAAGGTATGTGTGTAAGCGGGAGGTATGGTTAGGTCTCTGGCTATCCCGGTCCTGCTTGGAATGTCGTACCAGTAGTTTGGGTTTGAGAGGGAGGCTGCACAGCGGGACTGGACAAGCCCACCCAGGGGGCCTCAGGCCTGCAGAAGGTAGAGTTTGACCGAAAGCATGGGAAAGATGAGAAACTAGTTAGACTTGTAGACTGGGGCACGGGGCAATGAGGTGTACCGTTCAGGAAGAGCACTCTGGCTGTTGGGGCTGGGAGAAGGACAGACTGGAGAGGTGTAAGGAAGGATGCTGGGTGATGGGCCATTCCAGAGGCCCCTGGGATGACCCGTGGGTGGTACCCAGGGGCCACAGGTGTGAAGCCTAGCACTTCTACGGGGCTTAGAGGCTCTCCCCGGCCAGCTCCATCCCGGGGCCGCGTTCTGGAAAACGTCCGTTTAGACACCTCACTACGAGGCAGCGTGACCAGCTCACCCTGGTTAGCCAGGACTCTCCTGGTTTTGGTATCTAGGTGTCCGGTCCCAGGGCAGCTTGGACAGGATTGAATGGGGCAGGAAGTCGGCTTCCCTCACGCACGGGGCCTCCCCTCCCCGTCTCCTCCAGCGGGCTGGATACGGGCTTAGCGGCTAACTCCCTGTGGGGCCCAGGGCAAGTGGCTTGGCCTCTCTGGGCCACTGTCTCCTCCTTTGTGAAATCCTGACTTCCTGGCCCTGTGGCTGCATTTCTTTTCTTTTCTTTCTTTCTTTTTTTCTTTCTTTCTTTCTTTCTTTTTTTAAAATATATTTTATTGATATTTTACAGAGAGGAGGAAGTGAGAGAGCTAGAAACATCGATGAGAGAGAAACACCAACCAGCTGCCTTCTGCACACCCCCTACCTGAGATATGCCCACAACCAACATACATGCCCTTGACCGGAATCAAACCTGGGACCCCTCAAGTCTGCAGATCAACGCTCTATCCACTGAGCCAAACCGGTTTCGGCCTGTGGCTGCATTTCAAAGCGTAATGCAGAGGGCCAACCGGAGAAGACAGGGCCATGTACCCACGGGATAGCCTGGGGCAAGATCCCTGCCTCCCCTTCCTCCCCCACAAAATGGGAATAGTAGTACCTCCCGCCTGGAAATGTACACGCTAAGCTAAGGAAAATTGTTCCGTGTGCTTGCGTAGCTGGATACTCAGTAGTTAGAAGTATGGATGCTCTGGTTAGGGAAAAGTATGATTTAGAGAGATGGTATTTCCTATGCAGTGACTGCCAGTTTTCAAACAATTAGGATGTGACTAAGCACCCTCACATCTCAAATTTTATAGCATGTGCCTTCCGTGGCACTCACAGTCTGTTAAGATTGCCTTTCACCTCTGAATGCCTAGTTCCATGTGGTGGAGACTAGGTCCTTCTTGCCATCCCCCTAACCCCCACCCCTAATAATATGTATTGGGTTCGTTGAGGTCACATTATGCCTATTTTACAGATGAGAAAAATGAGGCTCAGGCTGGTTAGGTGTCTTGCGTTTAAGAGGGAAAGTCAGAATTTGGAACTAAATCCAATTCAAGGTCCTATTCTTTCCACTAATGGGCCCCTATTTCCTCAGGGGGTGCACAGGGAGGGCGAGGCTAATGGGGGGAGGGCAGAAGGCAGAGCTAATGAAGTTCTGACTAGGACTAGAGGGAACAGCTATGGTGGGCCTGGCATGACACTGGCAGCCTGGCTTGATCCTCGGGAGGACAGGAAGCTTTAGGATGTTGCTGTCTCACCTAACTGGTTGCCATGAAGACAGGAGGAGGAGGTGTGTACACACACACACACACACACACACACACACACACACGCTAAGATATATTTCAAATCTGCTACCCGGATTTGCCTCAGAGATGCCACCAATGGGTGGGCAGAAACAACCCAATACTCTTGAGTGAAGGCAAGGAAAAATCTGTTCTTCACTTTTAAATTTTTATTATGAAAAACTTGAAGCATGCACAAGAACAATGTGGTGCCATGAACCCCAACTACCCAACTCCCAGCTTCAAAAACCACCATCTCTCAGCCAATCTTGTTCCACCTATACCCATTCTCTTCCTCCTTCACCTCAGATATTTAGAAGCAAAATCCATACAGAAATTGTTTCTTTTGCACGTATTTTAGTATACGACTCCAAAAGAGGAGTGGGGTTAATACCATTTCACCCCAACTAAAGCTAACAATAATGCTTTCATATCAGCAAATACCTACTCAGTGTTCAAAAGTCTTTGGTTGTTTCATAAAGGTTTTCTTTACAGTTGGGATAAAATTGGGATCCATACAAGTGTCACCCATTGGGATGTGTCTCTGACGTCTCTCAACCAGCAGTCCTTCTCCTTCCCTTTTTCTTCCCTTGCATTGTTATTGGTGAGAAGCTGGGTTGGTTTGTCTGTAGAAGAGCACCATACAGTCTAGATTTTGCCTGTTTTGTCACCATATTGGTATCACCCATGTTCCTTTCCCCCTTACACTTCTTATAAAGCAGTAATTAGATCTAGAAGCTACTTAGATTAATGTGTGTGTGTGTGTGTGTGTTTATGATGACTTCCAAGTGGCTGTGTTGGATTTCCATTTGAAGGCACACAATGTCTGGTGATGTTGGCACCATCAACGATCACTGTTTAGACCCGTTAGAGTTTGCAAAATAGTGACAAATAAGTCCTATCCTTCCATATTTGTGTGCTGGCTGGAATACCTCCATAAAAAGACACTTCCTTTATCAGCTATTTCGTTACTGTAAGGTATGGTTCATACCAGAAAGGAAAAATGCTTGATTCTTTCCTTTTTACTTGACAGTTTTCAAAATTAGGAGTTGGTTTCTGAACATCCCCCAAAGATGACAAATGGGTTTATGCTTTCTTACGGGGTACCATTGTGAACTCGTAGACGTGGACATCTGTAACACATTCCAGTCCAGTGCGTTACTATTCTTATCGATGCTCGGCTGTCCCACCTGGCCAGCCGTCCTATCACAATGTCCCCTTCATCTTTCCGGACACGGCCCAGCGTCTCCCAGAGCTCCCACACGCCCCGGATGACAGGACGTGCTAGGCTCCTCTCGCACATGTCCAGCCTCAGCCCTGGGATCGGCTGTCTCTGCACAGAACCCAATTTCTCGTCAGAAGTGGAGCGGAGAGACCCTAATTGAAGCGCTGGCGGTGCTCACTGTGACGGAGTTGGTCCGTATTCCTAACCCTTCCCTCGGGCAGAGCCGGGAAACACCTTCATTCTGTGAGGCCGATGGCAGCGTGGGTTCACCCCGAGGCCTCCACGCCAACGATGGGGCTGCAGACGCCACTTCGTTCCTGTGGTCTCGAGTCCCATCTCCTTTCTCCCGTGACAGTGTGACCGGGCCTGTTCCTGGAAGCAGAGCTCCTCGCTGTGTCTCCAATGAGCCGGAAGCGTGTGGGAAAGCACCTCAAGGCTTTCCTGCCTGCAGACAGAGCCCGGGCTGTCCGATGCAAGGCTCAGAGGCAGCCCTCCAGGAAGCCCACGCCTGGGTCCACAGCGACTCCATTCTGCTGGGAGGTGAACGAGTCCTTTCCATCCTCCTGTGTGCGGACTGGCTCTTCTAGCTGCTCCCAATCCTGGCTGGACACGTGGGGAAGCATAAAACCCCTCATGCCTGTCTTCCTCCCCCCCGCCCCACCCCTGATCACAGTTAAGCCAGAATCTCCAGTGCCGGGACCATATCATCAATATTTTTTAGAGCAGTCCCGGTCATTTGAATGTGCAGCCAGGGTTTAGCATCTCAGCTCTAGTCCCTACTTCTGAGCCCAAGGAAGAGAAGCGAGAAGCAAGGGGTAACGGTAGAACAGTGCTGCCAACGGCTCAGGTTGGAGTCCTACCTGCGAACATTCTGGGACAGCACTGACCTCTAGAACTTTCCACCGTCTTCGAAATGGCTCTTGTCGGTTCTGTCCAGGGGGGCACCCACCAGCCACACCTGGGGAGTGGGCACCAGTGCAACCTAGGGAGTGAGTTTTTTAAAATTAATTTAGACATAAATAGCCACACGTGGCTAGTAGCTACAGACTTGGACAATGCCACTTGGGAAAGTTACTTAACACCTAGAAACCTCGTGTCTGTCAATTAGGAATGAAAAAGAGTTCCTTCATTGGGTTGTTGATAGGATTAGAGATAAAGTGTAATACGTGCCTGGTGCGCCCAAGGCATTCGATAAAATGACACTTATTTCCTGATTAACATCAGCCTTTTCATGCCTAAAAAAACACCAAAAATAAAAACAAAACAAAACAAAAAAAAAACACCCTTGCCTGGACAAATGAGTGCTCAGAAGTACCCTGCCACAGAGACAAAAAAATTCTAAGCTGCTCCAGAAAAATCCTTGGAAAATATTCCTTCATTGTCAAGTTCAATTGCAGCAGAAGGTTATCAGTTGCAAGGGCTGTATTTCATTACAGATCTTGCCACAGCTCAATAAATTAAGCAATCACTCACAATAACATGCTGCTTTCATCCCGCCTGGACCCGTTTCAGGTTGTGGGGTTTTGTATTCACATAGCCCTTGAAAGGCCACTCACACTGGCCTCGTTCCTCCTCCCTCGATTCATCAGCTCCTCTCTGCGTCTCCAGGCCAGCAGGAGGGAGGACTGGAGGCAGAGCAGACTCCTTTTATCCAAACCGGAGCGTTTCCCAGCCTCTGGCCTTTGCGGGATCCGCGTTTCGTTCCCTGAAATTGCCGGCAGGTTTATCTGCCTCGAAGACAGAAAGCCACACCGCTCAGCAGCCTGGATCTGCATGCGGAGAGCAAACTTGCCGCGGCTTTTCCATCCCCCTCGGCTCCCTGGCGGTTTGTCATCTCACAGCCGAATTCATTTCCCCGAGAAACTTGGCACCAGAGGTGTCAAGCCCGGGAACATATTTGTTTGTGTAAATTAGAAGAAAAATATGTCTTGTCCATATTTAAGTTCTGAAGATATAAATACCGGGCTACACAATGCTTCTTCTTGAACGGTCCCGGCTCACCTCCCCTCACTCTGCCCGCGTGTATAGAGCCCAAGCTGGCGAGAACTCGGAGCGGCTTACGGCCTCAGAAAGCCCCGAGGATGACCTCAGAGGCCGGGTCTGCCCCATCCAGGCTGCCATGGGACATCTACTTACCTCACTTGGGACTGGCTCCCCCTGACACGCGGGGTCCTTGCCGCCCTCACACACACACTGCTCACGGTGTGGGGATGATGCCAGCTTTTGGAAGGGCCCTGGGCCGTAGCTGTAGACATTAAAATGCACATATCCTTTGACTGAGAGAAGTTCTACTTCTTGCCCAGGCCCCAGTGTGTTCAGTGCTTAGAGCATCAGCTGTGCTCCAAGGGTTGCAGGTTCAATTCCTGGTCAAGGGTGCATGCCTGGGTTGGCTCCCTGGTTCCCTGATGGGGGCTATGCTGGAGGTAGCCAGCTAATGTGTCTTTCTCTCTCTCTCCCTCCTTCTTCCTCTCCCTCCCTCCCTCTCTTCTTCCCTTCCACTCTCTCTTCCACTCTCTCTTCCCTTCCACTCTAAGAGCAATGGAAAAAATATCCTCTGGTGAGGATTAACCAATAGAGACAGAGAGAAAGAAAAAGAGAGCGAGTTCCACTTCCAGGAATGTACCCTATGAGTATACTCAAAGAGCATATACTTTTCAACAACAAAATCCTGGAGTTAACTAAAATGTTGCCCAGTGTGGGATGGTTAAGTAGATGCAGTGATAGAAGTCACTAGAATGAATGAGGTGGGTCAGAGGGCTGTCCTGTCTTCAGAATATATTGTAAGACACCCAATTATCTTAATGTTATGAGCAAAAAAGTGTATGCAGCCTGGCCGGTGTGGCTCAGTGGTTGAGCGTCGACCTATAAACCAGGAGGTCACAGTTTGATTCCTGGTCAGGGCACATGCTTGGGTTGTGGGCTTGGCCCCCAGTGTGGGGTGTGCAAGAGGCAGCCAATCAATGATTCTCTCTCGCCGTTGATGTTTCTCTCTCTCTATCCCTCTCCCTTCCTCTCTGAAGTAAATAAAAACATATTTTAAAAATCAAAGTGTATGCACTTGAATGCACTTAGAAAATTTAAGAAGATTATATAAACTGTCTACCGTGGTTACTTTTTAGAAAATTCAACTGGGAGTTCAAGAAAAATTGCAAAGGGGCTCCTTTATTTCCCACATATACTCTTCTGTACTATTTTTATCATAAGCCTGCTATGATTTCTTTCAATTGGGATAATTAAAAAACAAAATGGTGTTCTAAAAATCATCTTCACGCTCTGATTGGAGCAACATAATACAAATACTCTTTTCATTACGTGTCTGTGAGGCCAGTGCAGTGTTGGTGGGAATCTTGGCTTTTTCTGCTCTTTGTGCAAATTTTCCACTAGTGGGCTGAATGGTGGTCCCAGAGAGCTAAGATATAGCCACTTCCTAATCCCCGGAACCCGTAAGTGTTACCTAAGGTGGTAAGTGGCAAAAGACGTGACTAACGTGAGGGTCTTGAGAGGACTTGTTGATCCTACATTATCCAGACGGGCACTAAATGCATCTCACATGCTCCCTGGTAAGACAGAAGCAGAGACAGACCCAGAGAGGAAAACGTGTAAGACAGAGGCAGAGACTGGGGGGATGCGGCCACAAGTCAAAGAACATCAAAGCCACCAGAAGGCAGAAGAGGCAAGGAATGGATTTCCCCCCCGGAGCACCTGGGGGGGAGGTGGGTGGTGGGCGTGGGGAGAGTTAGCTTGCCGGAGTTTGGATGTCTGGCCTTCAGAACCGTGACATAACAAATTCCTGTTGTTTTAAGCCTCTTCGTTTGTGGTGCAATTGACCCTTGAACAACGAAGGGATCAGGGGGACGCCCTACCACACAGCCAAAAACCCGTGTTTAACTTTTGACTCCCCGAAACTTAGTTGTCCCTCTGTGTCCGCGGGCATTGGTTCCAGGGCCCCCGATGGACACCAAAATCTACAGATGTTCAGGCTCCTTGGATAAAACGGCATAGATCAATGCGTACCGTTGACCCTCTGTGTCTGTGGATGCCCAAGCACAGAGTGAAAGCAGTACTGGGGGCAAATAATGTGTGGGTGGGTCTGTGCAGCTCCAATCACGCTGTTCAAGGTTTCGTGGTCATGGGCTAGGGCTGCCCTAGGAAACAAATACATGGCCGACGTTCACAACACCTGTCAAATGCGTGAAGTGCCTGGCTCTTTTAAGAAACAAGCTTGGTAAACCTGTGGTTTTGGTGGACATAGATATACCCACTTCCTTCATTCCAAAGGCATTTAATGAGCATCTACTAGGTGACAGGTAGCGTTCCAGGTGCTCAGGATACAGCAGAGAACAAAACTAAGATGCCTGCCCACCTGAAGTAACATTCCAGTGAGAAGTAGTAAGTAGTATTCATGGAGAACTGATAGCAGCAGAAGGTGCTAAAGAGGATAAGAAAGCATAGGAAAGGGAAGGTCCCAGGAAGGGGACTGGGAGAATGCACTTTACCCAGAAGGTGACATTGGAGTAGAGGAAGCCAGTACAAAACGTGACTGACTTTCTGAGTCACCCACTGGCTGGACCAAAATTAATAGGAATGAGCACCCTCTTCTCCCCTCCTTTCTTCCCTGCCTCCCTCCTTCCCATGCTGCCGCCCGCCTGTTGTGTGCCAGCAGCTGGGGGTGCAAAGATGAGTGAGCCCCGAGCCCCCATGCTCACGGTTCTCACGCTTGGGGCGAGCATTCATATAAACAAGTCGTTACAAATGCAACACGGTGGGCTGCAGAGCAGAGGCCAGGACAAGCTTCACTCTCTGTCCACGGCGGAGAGCCAGGTGGGAGAAGAGGGGTGTGTGGGGATGGGGTCTGGGAGATGGAGACAAGCAGGAACAGGGGGCCGTGGTGAGCTCCGATTCCGTGGGAAAGTATAATAATTGGGAGGGGCCCATGGACATGTGCCTAGGGCAGTGTTGGCAAACAGTTGGCAAAAGCTTTAGTCAACAGAGCCAAATATCAACAGTACGATTGAAATTTTTTTTTTGAGAGCCACATTTTTTAAACTTAAACTATAGGTAGGTACATTGTCATTAACTTCATTAGGGTACTCCTACGCTGGCCTTTGCTAAAAACTCAAGGGGCCAAAGAGCCGCATGTGGCTCGAGAGCCGCAGTTTGCCAACCACTGGTCTAGGGATTCTTTTATCCTCAAGTTCAGCAGGCACTCCTAGGGGAGAATGAGCTCTGAGGACAGCCTCCCCCTTTCAGTGCCACACAACCCATGAAGAGGGAAGCAGTCCCCTAGTCTGGAATTGGAATGCTTTGGACCACGCAGAAGCCAAAGTTGATCTCGTTGGGGTAGAATGGAGGGTTATTCACTCGGGCAGCTATGACAAAGAAGGGAGAGCCTGAGCTGATCCAGGAACTGGAAGGCTCTGGGGTCAGAATGCAGCACTAGTCTCTCTTCTACTCCCGCTTCTCTCCTCCATTCCATTTCTCCTTTATGCTCCTCTCTGCTCACTGGGCCTCAATATCTGGGGCACAGGTAGCTCTGGATACTGGGGAGGATGAAAGGCAACCTTCCCACCAGCTCGTTAGGACACTCCTGGATTGGCCCCCTGCTTGGGTCACATGACCACACCTGACCAATCAGAAGTGTGCTGCTGTGATTCGCGGTGTTGGGTCAGGTGTTGCTGTAGCTGAGGGATGGGTGTTATGAGGCCTTCTTCAGCCATTCCCACGGGGTGTCTCTCATCTGATACAGGAAGTGGGAGAGCCAGCGTTGGCAGAAAAAAAGCAAAAGCAGAAACAGAATCACCTACCTCTGTAGCCTTCTCCTGGCGGTGCTGCTGCCACTCTGCTGGGCTTTGCTTTAAGAATCGCTCTGGCGTCTATAAACCCCAGAGCTGCCAGAATTTACTTAGACCTCATTGCTGTAGTCGCTTTTGAAATTGTTATTAAATTTTTTAAATCCCACTTACAATGTTTTGTTCACCTCCTGCCTCCATGGGGAGGAGTTGGGTCTGTCTTGGTTACTATACCGCTCCTACCTACTACAAAGCCCCTCCCTCATGTGCAGTAGGTACTCAAATAACTGATTGAACGAATGAACATTTATTGAATATCCTAGAGAAGAGGAGCTGCAGCCTCCTTATCTGCTCTCTCCTCCTGAGTCCCTCTCCTCCCTCTTCCCAGTCGTGTCGTATACCCCTTCTTGGCAAGGTGGTCAGTGTCAGCGCAGCCTTGGGTGCACTCAAGTCCTGGGATTTCTGCATTCTTGGGCTGAGAATCTGGATAAGTGCGGGAACTAAGGGAACTAAGGTTCCATTGGTTGGAAGAGGCTACTCTTTGAGGAGGATAATGGAGCTCTGTCTGAGCTGGGAGGGGCTGGGTGCCATGACTGGCTGCCAGTGTCGGCCGTACCACCTGCCTCTCATGGGCACTGCTGGTCCCCCTGCAGCTCTGGGCTGTTTGCTGGCCAGCGGGCCTCTGTGGTGAAGACTGCAGGCCTATTATGGGCTGATATCAGAGTACACCCGGAGTCCGGGGCACAGTGGTGTGGCCAAGTCAAACAACTGGAGGCTCTTAGGGAAGAAGGCTTAAGACAAGTGACTTTTTTTTGTTTTTGTTTTTTTTTTTTTGTGTGTGTGTGTGTGTGTGTGTGTGTGTGTTTTAAGTACTTATAACCCACATGTCAGCTGGGGTCATCTCATTTTTTTGAAGACTCAAATGCAATAGGTTTGAACCCTGTCCCACATACCATGGGGGACCCACTGTCCTTGGACCTTTTCCAGGGATTGGGGGTGACGGGTCCTTATGTCTCTCCCAGGCACCAGAGGCGCTGAATTCCTGCGTCCAATGAATCAGTGCTGCTTGGGCAACTTTTTGCTGGTCTCATGGGCACGTGGCCTGTGCAGCTGCATAGGGCCAAC